TTGTGTAAATCCGTCTAAACCAGTATAAATCAGTGAAAAAATAGTTTGAAACAAATGATTACTTGTGGTTTATACTATTTTTCCACTTCATATCTCGAAAACGAAGAAGAATCGACCCATGGTGTAGGTATACGTATTTAGGTACTTTTTCCCTGAAAAAACGAAACATTAGATTGTACCATTTATGCGTCAATTTATTTGCATAATTAATCAAATTTTTGTATTTTATAGGTTTCTAATACTAGAAGGACCAACTGGGTCAAAACGGTTCGTTAGTAACTTTCCAAAATAAAAGGGAATATTCCATACTGATAAGTGTTATCGTCTGTAACTTTCTGACTTTGTTTTTTATTTCTATCTATATTAGACAAATTTTTTAATTACGTTTTAAGTTATTAGCTGTACTCTTGACGACTTTATGGACCCAAAATCGCCATATTTTTTCAGCGAGGGAATTCGCCAGTTACTCGATAAATAGAATCAAGTGATTTAAGATAACAGAAGTTATTTCGAACATTAAAACTGTCTTTGATTTTTTCATACATAAGTATTAAAGTTTGTGAAAAAAGGCGCCGAATTAATTTGCATACCTACCTAATACCCATATAAAAATTCATTGTTCGAAAGTTCGATACTAATAGGTCAAAGTGTTTAAGTTCAAAATAGATTTAATAAATATTTGAAAATCTATTCTGTACGCTAATTTAGGTCTTTTGCTCGAAATGACTTGCTAAACATGTTGGCAAAGTTTGTCGATTCAGATGTGGAACACTCTCGTCAATTTCAACTGTTGAAAAAAACGACATTCCATTTCGACCAATCTAATATTCCTGAAAAATCGATTCTTTTGACCAACCTAGGTGACCCCTCGAAATTACTACATTTCCAATTAAACACAGTCGCACACTCGACCGTAGCGATTATAATAATTAAAAACTCGTGAAAGGGTGTCAACGACAGCCCTCCGCCGCGTAAAATCGGTCTTCCGTGAGAACCGGAAGCGGATCCTCTGCGTCTCGCACGGCGACACGTGTCCAGAGGCACAGTGGGCGTCTCTGTTCGTCGAAAAATCGAATCGAAAGGTGAAACACCTGCGGCATTCGTTTCCTTTTCGACGAACCACATATTAAACAAGCACAGCTCGTGGCAAGGTGTTTCGAAAACGTAGGAACAAAGATTCCTAGGCGGGAGGTCTCGCGTGAAAAACGTCTCAAACGGCGTCTGATTGCCGGACAATAAAATTCGTGGAGAGTTTGAGTGGGGAAAAGTGACGTTTCTCCCCTTTCTACCTTAACTCGAACCCTTTTTCTCGCTCCTCGACAGACAATAGAACACCAGACGTTATTTAAATGCGTCTCTCCTCTCTTGGAAATTCGAATTTTACATTTGCGTTTATTGTTACCTGATCCTTTGTGTGTCATATGCTTGTAAGTATTTTTGATGGAACGTAATTATAATTGGAAATTGGTTTTATCGGGGAAATTCTTGGGTCTTGTGTGTTCTTCGAATCAGGTTTAATTTCTTGTTTTCCATTTTCTAATTCTTGTTAGTTTTTCGATATTCTTTTATGAGAATGTGAAGCAACTTGGTAACGTTACAATATTATCGCCGAGCTTCTTTTTCATTGGGGGAGAAAAATGAAAATATCAAATTTATTCCAACGAAGTTTTAAAAAGTCAAAGTCTCAAACGTACAAGGTGTTTCGGTTAAATTTTGTCGGTAGATATGTTCTATGGGTATAAGTAGGAGGGAAATTTAACGTAAACATGGGTGGTTTAAATTGTAGCAAAAATACAAAATACGAAGGGAATTTTTGTTATAACTTTTTAATAAAGCTTCAGAAGATCTATACTTGAGTATATAACTTTTTCTCTTACTTATACTCATAGAATAGGTATGGAAAAAAGAAACTGGGACACCCTGTGTATGAAGTTTTTTTAAAACTTTTTCTCTATTAATACCAACAATAAGATGAACTATAGTCTACTAAAACAATCATTCGTTCGATGAATTATTATCTTAAATATTGCATTTCTTTAAAAAGATGTTTTAGAGGAAAACTTTGAATATTCCACTGGAAATAAAATCCTATGGACAATAGTGTTTTACTTAGGGTATACCAGTATTTTAAACAGAACATGAATAGACTTTCACGAAAAGCAATGAAACAACCCCTTTCAAATTTCCACGAAGAATTCGTCATTTTTCTGCAACCAATATCTCTGATTGACGGCGAAACACACGATTAGTATACAATTAGATCGCAAATGACCGACAGATTGTTCGTAACTGAACATATGGTGGTCATCCACAGTTTTACAGGCACACTTGGTCGCCTTTTGAGCGTTCACCCTGACCAGGAATCGATCTATTAGTCCATGCGCAATCTTTGAACAAAAGGCCAGGTAATTCTGGACTATAAGTCCACTTATCATTGTGCTCTAACAACCTGCTGACAGTTCACGACGTAAATCCGCCTGGAAATACTAATTGGACGTGCGAACTGCGTGGGTGCAGAACGAATTCAACGAAACTAGGAAACTTTGATTTATTTTCGATAAATTGGATGGGCAACATATAGAACAATATAATTTTGGAATTAAATGTAAGAAATTTAACATTAGGAAAGTATGGAGTATTAACATTAATACTTGATGAAGTTGAGAAAAATACCTAAAAGTTCAATTTTTCAATCAGTTGTGAAAAATTCTCTCTTCACGAGTTCTAAAAATATACAAACTTGTCGCCTAGCAGTGAAAAATCTAAATTTTCCACAATTTTAAACGCACAAAGTATAAAAAAAATTCAATTTTGCAATTATCTACGAAAAATTTCTCTTCACCATAAATTCGCCCCTTATAGATTTTAAAAATTCGTGACTCTATTTCGTTCTAACCAGAATATTCATGTTAATTCCAAAAAATTTCCCATTCACGAATTCCAAAAATATACAAACCTCTCGTCTAATAGTCGAACATCCAAATTATACACAAATTTAAAGATACAAAATGTAAAAAACGTTCAAGTTTGCAATTATCTACGAAAAATTTCCCCTTCACGAGGTCCAACACGTTACAAACTTGCACGTGGGAAGAAAAATTCCAAATTCGTCCTAATCTCTGTCTCGATAACAGGTGCTTGCAACCCCCGAAGACGTCTGAAACGATTCGTTCGGCCGATTCCACGCGATTTTCACGGCGTATCCGGCTTGATCTTGCGCAATATCTCCACTAGACCATCCCCTCGGCAAAACTTATTGGAAAATCTTCGGTCAGTCTTCGAAACTCGGACTTTGAAGGATCGTACAAAACGTAGTGGCCGTGTCTAATCGACGAACGGTCAGTGAAACCTTGAAACGTTCCCAAGCTACGTGGCTGCACCCATTTTCAATCATTCTAACGGAGAGATTACGCATACACGAATTGGTCGCTACGTTTGAACCAGTCTCGCCTAACAGGATCCAAATCCTGGAGGCGGAAGGTGGATTTCATGGGAACGGATTTCGATCGACCTTAAGTTTCGCGTTTCTTTAAGAATGGTTTTCATTTTTAGGGGGAATTTTCGTGGGTGGAGATTTCACGATGAATGAATGGGTAAGGAAAGTTTAGGTATGGAGTTGAAGGTTGTATTTGCAATTGAAGTAAATGGAATTTGGAATTTGGGAATGGGATATCGAGAATGTTGAATTTTATAGTACTAGCGATGAGAAGTGGTGCAGGTTGGGATTTAGTGTGATTGAAATTTTGACAGATTGTATTTCGAAGTGATCGATATTTGGGAAGAGGGGAATTCAGAGCGATAGAAATGTGTAAAAATTGTGATTCAGGGCGATAGTGTTTCACGAACATTACAATTTGGAGCGATGGAAATTCGGCAAAATTGGAGTTCGAAGTGATAGAACTTTCAGCGTGATAAAATTAAAATAATGTGTTTTAAGGCAACAGAAAGTCGCAAAACTTGTGATTTAGGACAGTAGTAATTTGGAAAAATTGTAATTGAGAGCGATAGAAATTCAAAAAATTGTGATTCAGGGCGATAGTATTTCAGAAGAATTACAATACAGAATAATTGGACTTTAGGGCGATAGAAATTTTAAAATATTGTGATTCAAAGCGATAGAAAATCGCAAGACCTGTGATTTTGAGCGATAATAATCCGGAAAAATTGGAATTGAGAGCGATAGAAATTCGCAAAAATTATAACTCAGGACGATAGTATTTCACAAAAATTACAATTTGGAAAAATTGTAATTGAGAGCGATAGAAATTCGCAAAAATTATAACTCAGGACGATAGTATTTCACAAAAATTACAATTTGGAAAAATTGGAGTTCAGGGCGAAGGAAATTTTTAAATATTAAGATTCAAAGCGATAGAAAATCGCAAAACCTGTGATTGAGCGATAATAATTCGGAAAAATTGGAATTGAGAGCGATAGAAATTCGCAAAAATTATAACTCAGGACGATAGTATTTCATAAAAATTACAATTTGGAAAAATTGGAGTTCAGGGCGAAAGAAATTTTTAAATATTAAGATTCAAAGCGATAGAATATCGCAAAACCTGTGATTTTGAGCGATAATAATCCGGATAAAGTGGAATTGAGAGCGATAGAAATTCGCAAAAATTATAACTCAGGACGATAGTATTTCACAAAAATTACAATTTGGAAAAATTGGAGTTCAGGGCGAAAGAAATTTTTAAATATTAAGATTCAAAGCGATAGAAAATCGCAAAACCTGTGATTGAGAGCAACAATAATTCGGATAATGTGGAATTTAGAACGACAGAAATTAGCAAAAGTTACTATTTAGAACGATCCGAATTCTCAAAAATTTTCATTTTAACCTCACAACTAGCAAATTTCACAAATACAAATCTAGAGCAACAGTGTTAAAAAAATACAGAACGTACAGTTTTATTAGACCACGATTCAAAAGGACATTACTAAGACTGTGAAAAGGAACTGTGACAAGAGAGTACGTTTAGAAGACCATGGACTTAAATTTTCTTCACTTTCGGCACGGGCTCGTCATTGAGGTTCCTCTTGTTTGGTGTCCAAGACTTTGGCAATTTCGGTTGCGGCACTGGCCGATTTGTTCTGCGATTTTTATTCCCCCGGACATTCGATCGTTGCCTCGACCTCACCGTCTTCTTTACCTCTTTCTTGGTCTTCCTTCGAGTCTGTCGTGATGGTGCTTCGCGGTTCAAAGTGGTAGTTTTTGCTCCGTCCGGATCAAATCTGTACCCATCGCCAAAAGAAAGGATTAAGATCGGAATAAAATGAAGAAACAGCAATATTTCCCATGTATACTCTTGTTAATAATTATTAGGACACTTATTGAACGTGAACTAAGTCTAAACAATAATTAGAAAATTATTAAGATTCACAAAAAATGATTCAGCTTGGAATTTCATAGTATAAGGAGTAAGTAAATAATAAATAGATAATCACTAAATAGATAATGCATACTCTATTCATCAATTCTAAAAGACGAGCCAATAATTAAATTTTGCTGTTTTTTCATTGCACTGCATTCCTAAATTTTCGTAAATTGACATTTTCTGGATAAGTTTATCAGAAGTTGTATTTTCCTTGCAACTGTGGTACGATAAAAGTAGACAATTCTGGCAGTATTTTGAAATATTAATAGTGGATTTTTAAAATGAACTTATAATGCTAAAATTCGGTAACGAAGTCGATATTTCCACTAATGAAATTAAGATGTCTTGTTATTATATTAAGGTGACGACATGATACTAACCTTAGCGAAGAAGTATAATTTAAATCATATAATACTTTCTGTGCAAACATAACCGGTGCTCTAATATTTATTAAGTGTAACTACATAAGTTTCTCAAATTCAACAAAATGAAGTCGATCAGAAAATATTTGCAATTTTAGTGTTAATGAAGTTAGCATTAATAAGAAAAATACAAATATTATTTTTACTGCTTCGGATATAATGTGTCTCATGTTAACATTAGTGTCACAGTAAATTAATGTTAGTATTTCGGGACTAAATGTAGTCTAATTTGTTCTTCTATAAAATAGCTGGAGTTCTGTTCTAACAAAAGTATAATTCTCAAAGAAATTCTTTAATCTAACAACAAATATAAACAATTACTCAAGTTTCAAGCTTTAAACTATTTAGATAAGATTATAATAAACGTAGAAAAGTTTCTCAAATTTCAAACCATAAACTCGAAGATAGTTTGAGAAATAAATAATCAGATTAATTACCTAAATTTATTGTTACTCCTGGTAAGGATGCCAAAATCGAGTCCACGACGAAGAGCCACAGTCACCTGCTTCCTAAGTCCTTTTCCAGCTGATATGTCGAGCTTGTTGCTGATCTGTTGGACGATCTCCTTTTCGGTGAAGCCTTCTTCCGGTTGTTCTGTTCTCAGCAGATCGTACACCAGTATCGATTTACGCACCATTTTGATTGCTATTTCTAGCTTCGTCAAAGGTTCGTCGATAAGCTGGAGAATTTTCCGAAACGGAGCATCACGGGACACGATCAAATTGGACGGGTCTGTCGTTCACCGGAAGTTGTCGCGAGTGACGCGATTATTTTCGAGATTTATGGTTGAATCGTCGAATGTACAACTTGGGTTTCTATGTTCACGTAGTTTAAAGAGTTTGCTTTTGTTTTTCTTAGAGACGTATCAATTTTTGGATAATTTTCCAACGATTGTGAAATTTGAAAAGAGTATCGAGAAGATTAAGATGTTTAATTTGTGTTGAATGGATGAGACTAGAGAAATGTTTATTCGATTGTTTTTGTACCGAAGATGGGATTTCGTGCAAATATGAGTTCATTATCTATGTATTGGGTCATCTTGAAAGTTTCCGTGGTTTGTAACTCCATTGAAATTAAACATTTCTATTTCAAATAATTTCCAGAAAGTTCGATGCACTTTGTATTACAAGAGCATTAATTCCGCGGAAATAAAAATCCGAGTCTCTGTAAGAGAAAAAACTGCTGAAAGGCGTTTTCAGTAACTTTCTGTTTTCTAAATCGTTTTTGCGTAAGGAAATTGCCAAGCGAGCGGAAAAACTGAAAATCGGTTGGAGATAAATCAGGGGAATATGGGGGATGAGACAGAACTTCCATGCCCAGTTGATGCAATTTTTATACAGTTGTCATGCAAGAGGTTAGGACCTTTTCTATTGACCAGTGCTGGTTGCCGTATCTTCAGTTTTTGGTGGACGATTTTTAATTCGTTACTGTAGGACTCTGCAGTGACAATGGTAACAGGTGACTTAGGAAACTATAGTGAATTAATTCCGGAATGGACCACCAAACTGTCAGTATAATCATTTTCGGATGTAAACTTAGGTTTGGATTGGGAACATTCATTTGCACCTTTCTTTCTCTTAGAGATTCGGACTTTTATGTACGCGGAATTAATGCTCTTGTAATACATTGGAAAAAGTGGAAATGAGTTATGTTCTTTCAAAATGAACTATCAGAATAATATACGTATAATAAAATTAATTGATTGAATCGAGGTGATTGAATATTTTAGAAATTGGAAGAATCTTGAACAGTTCTCAGAATGTATTAGCAATTTCTTTTCGAACGAGAATTAAAATCTTAAGGAAAGAGCCATTTCACTGGGAATTGGTATCGCAAATCTATCGGTATTTGTCCTTTCCCCCGAACTTCAGTTCCGAACTTACATTTCGGGGAAAAAAGAAGCTAATAAAACGTTGTGTTTCATCGAATCTGCCAGAAATTGCATTTTGAAATCACGTTTACTTTTTACAAGCCCTGGCTCGTCGGTTCTGCTGTTTGCTTACTCTAGTATTTGCGCTCGCCGCATTTATTGCATCCCCGACGCGTGGAAACGGGCTAAACCGCGTGTTCAAAACGCGTAAATTAAACCTTCTCTAAACGTTCCGCAGAAACGTGTCATTTACACTCGCAATGATCTTCGAGTGATCTTCCGAGGATCGTAATAACCTTCGAAGAACTTTCAGTGTTTTCGATTAAACGACGATTCAAACAACCCTCTGAACGCTTTCACTTCGATGACACTTAAGAGAGTGTGAATAACGCTAACGAAGCTTTAAGGACCTTTAAAGTAAACTGAATGACATCAAGGTAGCTTCGATGACCTTGGAATCGTAATCAATGACCTTAAGGTACCTCCAAAAACATTCAAATTACGGTACACGACTTTATGATAACTTCGATAGCCATCGAGTCACGATGTTTCACCTCGAAGTAACTTCAGTGTCCTTGAAAGCATAATGGATGATCTTAAGGTAATGATCTGAACAATTTTTCATGCAACCATACAGCATAATTCCAACCGAAAAAACGGAGTTCAATTAATGCATGGTGTTAATGTAATTTTAACGAGCCTCAAATGACCTCGAACACCCTTTGAGCATCTATAACTGAATCTAGACGCTCTTGGTGACACTTGCACCACCTCCAGGTGATTTCAAATTACCTCATTAACCTTCTATTTACATTGGACCGCGCGAATAAGACAGACACCCCTCAAATAACGTTAAACGCCTTCGATAAACTTTATATTACCTCGAACCTCTTTGGGTCCCTGCGACCTTTAAGTGACCTCGAGCAGCCTTGACATGCTCACGAGTAATTTTTTATCCAACCATGAAACATAATTCCAACCCAAAAAGCAGAAAATTTCCCGATTGGAACTTGCACAAACCACCCCGAAACCTTCACACTAATATCAAACCACCTAACAAAAATCTCCTTTCACCGAAGTTCCCAAACTTTCTCGAGAAAGTTACTCCCTTCTCCCTTTTCCTTAAACGGAGTCGTAACATCCCCGGTGCTTCATCAAAATCGCGACTACGCTTCAGCATAGTTGCACCTGAACTCCAACGATCCGCGTCTTCGGCGTATTCGCAAGGATTCCACGATGTTTGCCAAGAGGGACGTGGATGTGCTGCAGGGTTTAGAAGGAGCGGCTGGCTTTGAGGATATCTCCCGAAGGAGTGACGGAGGGGCGAGGGGTGTGGAAGAGGAGGGGTGGTGGTTGGTCGGTGCTTAGAAAGAGGGAACACGGCTGGATGGCCAGCGACTCTGATTTCCGTCGGGAATTTCGCCCTATCCGACGCAACCAGGCGAAGCCGCCTTTAATCATTCGATTGCCGCCGCTTAGAGTCCTTCCACGACCAGGACCGATATCTAACCGCCCGCCATATTTACCCAGCATCCGCCCGGACCGGACGCGCTCCTCCGCGCACGGTTAATTAATTTGCCGTTTTTCTTGCCGTCCCGTGTGTCTCGTCGCTCGTAATCTCGATTACAAGATGAAGTCGAGAGAATTGTACAGGATTTCGGAAATTTGTGTTTTTCTTTTCGTTTTTTTTGTTTTCTTCGGTAACGACGCACAGTGGGCCAGGAACCCCCAAAAACTGGCCATAAGTCGATTTGAGAACTAACGTAAAAAAGACATATCGTCATACTCGGGAATAGTTAATGTACATATCTACAAAATATTTTGTTGATTCAACAATTCCTGTTCCATTGGCATTGGTCTAAAGTTGGAAAACGCTTTGAAATTGCTGGTATGTCTCTTTCTGGTAACATGAATGTTATTCATCAATTTATGTGTAATTTATGAAATTTTTTTTTTATTTATTTATTTATAGATACATAGCAATTAAGAATAACACAGATAAGTTATGAAAGTTAACTAGAAATTGTAATATTTTATTCTTTATTGTCATACTGTAACCATATTTCGCAGTATGTTCACATTTCAATTCAGGGTTCCCCTAAGTTCCACCTCTTATGAAGAAAAATGAAGCTTAAATGTGTTCTTTGGAATGTATAGTATAAGATAGGACTGCTTCATTTTGCTCCTTTTGATGTCCTACTGAAATAAATATTATTTAATAGCGGCTGTACGCGCGCAGTTGGATACTAGACTACGGTCGAATATACATACCGGGTGGAACAGATAAAGGCTGTTTTCTCAGAAGCCATTGCAGATATCAACTTGAAACTTTTAGGTGTTAAATGGTATATAGGAATTAACATTTTAGAATGTAAGACAGAGTGGGGGTGAGTTCCTTAAGGGTGGAAATGGTGCACACCCATTTTTTTTTAAATGAGATGGCATATTAATTTTTCCATATTCGGAAAGATGTTATCAAACCTAATAACTTTTTATCTAAGGCATTTTTATTCTGCATAGTTAAGGAGTTATAGCGGAAAAGCCTTACGGAAGGGGAGTTTCGTGTCTGTGTCGAAATATATCAAATGAAATTCGTGGTTTATGGCATGCTATTAAGCTATTCAGCCTGAGAAGCAAGAATAATTAAAAATCTAACAAAGCAATTCTAATGATCTTCGCCAGGGTGTACTTTAAAACACACAAACAATAAATGAAAATACCGATTGTGCCATAAACCGTTCTAAAGAAGACCTAACATATAAGGCAATTTATTGTTGTAAAATGTTATAAATTTTTAAAAATTTTTGGTTTTCCTTTACTTGAAAAGCATAACGGGAGATAAGTTCTTGACTCCTTACAAGCTGATGAATTTATAACACTTTACAACAATAAATTGTCTCATATGACAGGTCGTTTAATTAGTAAAAAGTAAAAAGAAATTTGTATCCATTCCACCAGAGATAAATCATTTGTTAGCTGCTCCTGAAATAAATGTGAGCAGCTGCACTATTTCTCACGTATATGATAGTGACAGTGAAGACATGAATGCAGATGATGACGAAGGGAGTAAAAATACAGATCTTCTACACATTTTCACACAATTAGATAAGCTTGAACTGGCAAATGAACTGACAGAATTTTAAATATACGTTTAATAAAAAACGATTGTACACACTTTCACACAATTAGATAAGCTTGAACTGGCAAATGAACTGACAGAATTTTAAATATACGTTTAATAAAAAACGATTTACGTTACCTACAGAGTGATAAATAGCAGCAAGACGACTAACTTACATTCTTTAACATCTCGAGTAGTGAGAGGCAAGGGGACTCACTGTAATAAAGCACCCCGAATTACCGAACTGGTAATTATGGAGCTTCAAATCGTACTATAACCTCCTCGTGGTAGGCTCTGGAAACTACAGAAATTGTAGGCAAACTACAGGCGTTTTTATTAGAAAATCTTATTTTTTTAATATTATAGATACCGTTGTGAATCCGATATTTTGAATTTTGAATTTTTAGTGTTACATTCGCTATCAGCGACCTTAAAAACCCCTAATTACCAAGTTTCAGAAAAATCGGATGAAATCTTGAATTTTGGCCAGTTTTTGGGAGTTCCTGGCCCACTGTGCGACGGTTTAACGCTAACCGTATCCGGTCGAATTACCAGTTGTGAAATAATCGTATTTTGTCCGAAAGGAATACAGGTGATTGTCAATTTAATATAGGAAGCAACGCAGAAAATAGCCTTTAGATAATAA